TTGCTTTAAAACTTTCTGAGATAAATGAGAAAAACGGAAAAAAGTTATTTTTTTCAAAATTGATTTTCTCAAAAACCCCACCTTTTATTTTCACCAAATTTAGATATGTTTTTCAAGGCCAAATGAGCTATTTTTTAGCTAAGCGGCAATATGTCAATATGCTTCGTTCGGGAGATACTGTTTCGAAAATGCATATCTGGTGAAAATAAAAAGTGGAGTGTTTGAGAAAATCAATACACCTTTTTATTATTTATTTATGGAACAATATTGAGTTTTATAGTACCTAATTAATTAATAAATGAAAATTATATCCATGTTACTGAGCATGCGCATTAAAGAAAATTTCATTTATTATTGTATTGTATTTAAATTTAGGAATATTCTTTTATATCGTTGTTTGTAAGCGATAAGCACATTCGTGTTATCTATTTTACGAAACATGTGTTGGTTGTCCTTAAATACTTCTAAATTCTTATAAAAATAAATTAATTTGAAGTTGCTCATTTTTATAGCATCTATGTAAATAGTACATAAGGGTTAGAATGGTCAGATGCGGTCTATTCTGAAAACAAAAATGATTTTTTTTCGTTTTTCTCATATCTCACAGAAATTCGAATTCCGAAAAAAAACAGTTAAAAGCTGATGAAATTTTCCACGTTTTGAATAAAATCCTTTCCATAGGAGGATTTGGAAATGTGGAAATAGTAAGGTCTTTCAATAGTGGCTATTTTTAGTCTTTGTGAAGGGTTTCCAATCTGTTCTCTTCAATCTTTGGGTTCAGACGACCCTGCTATCAAATAGATGACCCCGCCGCTGGCTGGACTTAATTTACAAGATTTCCAGGCCTACTTTTTTGTTTGTCCCAGGTGAAATTCCCAGCCCTATTCATCGGCGGGGCCTATAGGTAGGCAATAAAAAATAAATTGGGTGCACGGCGCAAGACAATGCGTCTCGGTCGGGGAAAAAACGGACAAAATGAACCGTTGCGTATTGATTAGGTTCGGCTCCGTACTACAATTAATAATGGCTTTGTTTATGGATGGTGGCGGCGGCAACAAAGAGGGCCGCATAAAAAATCGCGATCAGGTGCCACGCCACAATACGTGCACCTGGAGGCGGCACAAAGACTTCTCATGAATAATGTTTTCACAGAAACAGTGGCGAAATTCCTGGAATTTGAATATAAAATTCGAGTCCGTTCAGTATTCGTTGGCGAGAAAAGCATAAGCCAATAAAGTTCGGTTACCGGAACTACTGTAACAATTTACCGCGGCAGGGGAAATTTTCCGCGATAATTTCTTCGAAATCTATGGATTCTAAATACGTTTATGTCACAAATTCGCCAATAAGACAAACTCTTGGGGTCATCGTTCGCCCGACAGTGACGTCAGGCGCCTATTGAAGTACTTATCCAACAAATCACATTACAGATAGCTTTCATGTGAATTTCAAAATTCATCCGATGACAAGCATTACTATACAAATCCTTTATTTAACGTCAACGCAGTGTCCGACAAAACACTCCGATTCTTCTCCCAAACCAATCTTATCTGTCTCGGGGCCCATCGCCATCTCGACGCGTTCTTTTTTGTCGCGACCCGTAAACTATCTCGGCGCATTATCAGCGGCCACGAGCAACATAACCTAAGTTTGAACCGCGCTGAGCTATCAGGGACTTTTTGTAACTACATCACATCCGTATCTTCGATCTGGCCAGATGGGATCTTGTGCAACTCGTGACTGCGGCTATCAATGTTGCTGAATCATAGAGTTCAAAGCAGGTGCATCTAATAACAAAAAAACGGAGTTTCTTTGTTCCACTATCGCGCTCGCGAACGCCGGGAATGTTTCCTATTGTTGGAAGACGATCAGGTGGTGCGGGGTACTAAATTCGCATTTCGATACGCTTCCGAAACATTTCGCTACACTTTTGAAATATTTTGCTGCACTTCCGAAATATTTTACCTTACTTTCTATACAGGGTGCCCCAAAAGTGACGCCCGTCCTTATGGATTTTGATTGAGGGGACAAAAACAAATCGAAAATCAAGAGTGGAAAATTTTCCGATTGTTAAAAAATTATTCAAAAAACTAAAAATAAACATTTGGGCTGGGCTATTAAATATTTATGTAGTTCAAAACTGTATTTGCTGCAGCTGTATGTTTTTAAATGAAAACTTACCATTGCCATTGCTGCATGACGTTCCGTTAGCAGTTAAACTAAATTATTGGTTTCAACATGATGGAGCTCCATCACATTATGGCTTACGAATATAAAATTATCTGAATCAAAACTTCCAAGACAGATGGATTGGAAGAGGTGGACCATGGCCTCCTGGACCACCAGATCTGAATCTCCTAGATTTTTCTTTTGGGGTTATTTAAAAGAAAATATTTATAGTCCGTATATGCGCTGCTGTCGCGTTAGTAGACCAAGAGATGCTACAAAGAGTTCATGCTTCAATGTTGAATCGTGATAATCTTTGTCTTGAAGTAAAAGACAACTTATTTGAACACCTTTTGTAAAAACAATTTCTATTATTTTAATTTGTTTTATTATAAAAAATATTTTTCTCTAACCTTTTCAGGTTAAAATAATTCCTTACACCAGGTACAACCGACAATCGAAAACTATACTTATCTACTATTGGTTATAAATTATATGTCTTGGTTCCTATAAGCACAAACCTCAGTTTTGAGACAAAAAAATGGATTTTCACTTTTTTAGGTTTTTGAATACTTTTTTGAATAACTCAACAACGGAAAACAATTGGAATATTTTCCACTCTTGATTTTCAATTCGTTTTTGTCTCCTTAATCAAATCCTAGAAGGACGGGCGTCACTTTTGGGACACCCTGTATATTTCACTACAGTTTCCAAAGAAAACAGCATTCTTGATAGGAACTAAAAACTAATTTTCATTCATTTTAAAATGACAGTTCCAACGAAACTCTCACAAAAGATCTAGACAAGCCTTCAGGTTAACTCATATTTTTCTTACACGTAACTATATTTTCTGATTAAAGCGAAAAACAAACATTTCGAATTTCTGAATATATAATTTTCTTCTTTGATGGGCTTTTATGTGTATACTATAAATTCTTGTTATCTGAATTACTCGGAAATTAAACGAAACTTAAGTAAGCAACTACTAATTAAAACTTTATATAAATAGATTCATTAAACAGTAATATTATTTACCATTACGTGTTTACATGTTTAATAAACAAACATATGAAATAACCTTGGAAATAACGGTCAAAAGTTTGTAAAAACTTTAATCTAAAGAACACATTAAGTACACATAGATTGCATTTTAAACGAAGATTATTATAAATATTGTAATTACATTCTCAAGATAATCCTTAAGTAGATACGTTTCTGAAAACATGTAATTACTTAAAATGCCATCAAACCTTGACAATGTGATTGATAACAGTAGTTCGAAACAGACTTCTCCAATTCACTGAATGATAAAGTTTTTCACAGAAAATAAATTACTTTTAAAAATAGTTTCCATCGTCAATTTTCTGTAATTGTAAGTTGGATTTACTCCTTGGAACTCAGAAACCAGTCAATTATTTAGCTATTAGTGTGCAATTGCGAGGGGCATATTTCAGATATTAAATAGCAATTACAGAAATTGCCGAGTTATTGGTATGTTAGTTTTATTTGTCTTTGAAACGCCATGACAGTATGAAATACGACCCGAGAAATTCTTGATGCGGTGCGTATTGGAAATAACCTCGGAAATAACTTACTCCACAGAAATCGAGACAATGGTGAAATATCTATAATTTCCTTAGTATTGAAAAAATGTATTTGAACCAGCGATTATTTTTAATAGTTGCCCCTCAGAACTTAATATTTAAATATTTATAAAAATATATATGTATACGCAGAAGAAAATAGAAGATTTGATGACACTTTCAGTTGAAAATTATTGACAGTAGATGGATTAAAAATCGGTATAACTGGAAGCAGAAACAGAAGATTTTCTTGGTAAAAATGAAAATATACTTCATTTCCATTATCAAAATGCCTCTGGACAAACAATTTTTAGACGTTTTATTGCCAGTGTCAAGGTTTGCAGTGCAAGCGAATAAATATCAGTTTCTGAAGATCTTGAAGATGATTTTGGATATGATATATACATAATCCATCCATTTTTTCCAACTATCATTTCTAACAGCTACACTTTGGAAATGTGTAGTATTTATGAAAGCATAAGCTTCAGAAAGACAATAAGAGAGTTTGGGAACAGTTTTGTTTGCAAACTATCTGTAACGAATGGGAAATTCTGAACTATGAACTAAGAACCAATATGAACGAAAGCACAAACAGGTCTTCTTTGTAAAAGTGGATAATTATTACGTTTTTTTAATAAAAATGTCTCCGAGGTAAACAATTTTTCGACGTCTTGCTTGTGAGTATAGAAAAACGTTGCAATATCGACCTTTCAATTTGTGCAAGCACACGCGTATAAATATCAATTTTTAAAGATGATTTTGGATTCATGTTAGACTACTAAAGGAGAAATGCAATGTTTTAACATTGAGAAAGACGCACGTAAATCAAGATTTCAACTGGTGCTCATTTCTTGCACCTATCTTTTGGAATTGGATAAGTATTTTTGAAAGCATAAGCTTCAAGACGCAGATAGTGACTTTGAAAACTGTTTTGTTTACAAACTCTTGACAACAAATGGGAAATTTGGAACTCTGAACTAAAAGGCAATACGGACGGAAGCAGCAACATACGGTTTCAGCATCAAAACGTCTTTGAGATCAGCTTCAAGATATTTTTCATTGCCAACACTTCATTTGGTGCAAGTGCATGTTACAGCAACGTACTGTCTCAATAATCCAGGTTGTCCACCGCAGCTTTAGCTACAATGGAGCCCGGCGTGTCATTTTACGTCGTATCGCCAGCGATTTCCGCGGTTCTATTCACGAACGAGCCCAACAAAGGCCCGAATTCAAACATGGCAGACAGCTTACCCTTTCGAGACAAGTGGCCCTGCACTGGGCAACCCTCAGGGGACTCCCCACATCCTGCTCTCCGCCAATAAAAATGCCCATGCACGACGTGAGCGTAGCGAGACAGACCAGCGATCTCCTGAAGAGGGCCATCTCGGTCGTGGAGCGGATCAAACCAGAACTCTGCCTAGCACAGTAACCCGGCACATGCACAACGAACACAAATAATAGAACTGAACACAAAACAGAAACGGCCGGGGTGTGGGGTTCGCGTACGTAGTATCGTTTCGTTAGACTCGCTGGAGAGGATCATCGGCGTACAACCTCACCCGTCTGCTCTTCGCGCTGAACTGAGCTTTGAGCTTAGCGGAATGGGAATCCTCTCTTCTCCGGCGGGCGCAAGAAGTAAGTGGGAATTCGGCCGTTGTCGGGCGGGTTCGGCGCACTCACCACTTCCAGGGGGTTGGAAAGGGGTTATAGGCGTGCGGTGCGTCGCTGTGTCTTCGGTTGGGAAGCCGATGGTGAAGGAGGAAAGGCTAACTAAAGACAGATGCAAGGACCGACAAAACTTCAATTGGACAAAATAAGATGTTATAGATTTGATCGTTGTTTTTTTTTATGTAACGGAACGGCCATAGGGGGTTCAGGGTCAAATTGGAATAACTCTGATTCAAAGGGATTTAACAACAATATTTGCAAGACTGTATCTACAAAATTATCAATTTATTCCAAAGGAACGTACTTAACAAGTTAATATAAGCCTTTTCATTTTTTTTTTCTTCATAAAATCGGTGCATGAAACAGTACGTTAGATTTTTCACTATTCAACTGTTCACAAACATGAGACTTTTTCGAATACATACCAGCTTGTTGACTGTTTTGAAAATACCTATAGAAATGTCATTTATAACAACATTATTTCTAGAATTTAATTTTTGTGTCATGTTTTGCATTACTTACACTTATCCTAGACAAAGTTCAGAAGGTGTGTTATTATGGTAGTTGTAACATTTCATATGCTACATCTTCAGAGTAAACGTTACGTCAGTACATGCTAGTAAAAAAATATGAAGAAATCGAATATTAATTTTGCTTTTATTTATTATTTAGAAGTATTTACTGATTTTTATGCGTAAGTTCAAGAAAATTATTGGCTTTGAAAATCTAATATTTATCTGTCTATACAGGTTGTTACAAAATCGCTTCTCACTACAGGGATCTTGGAAACGGTAAGAGATACGAAGTAGTTTAAATGGGGGCAAAGTTGCATAATCAGGGGATTAACATCCTAAAAAATTAAGGCTAACATCCTAAATCCTAAATTAAGGCAACATCCTAAAATTAAGGCTAACATCCTAAAAAATTAAGGCCAACATGATTAGTTTAGAAAAAAACTTTTGGAAATCCATTTTTGTTTGAGGTGTTATTGAAAATGGAAGAACACTTTCTCATGGCAACTTTCTGCGCTCTATCAAATGACATAATCAATTTTTATATGTAACGTTTCGTCTCTCCAGTACCATCATCAACTTCATTTTTTTAAATACGACCCTGCAAATTTTATTTTATTACATTTTTTGCAAGCCTTCATGACCCCCAATACTGTACTGCCTCAGCCCGAACCAGATTCAGATGTTTTGTCTCGAAAAATTCATCTTCATGTATTCTTTCCAAATTTATCTATTTTTTTTTTAGATTTCTGTGTTTATTGAATAATCGTACACTCGAATTTATTATTGTAAGTGTTGTTAGACCCTGTGAAATCCACCTAGTTATTTAAACTATTACCATGACACATTACAATAAAACAATATTAGAGTTTTTATCCCGTGCTCATTATTTCTAGGTTTCTCGAGTGCTCAATATTCAAACAAATTTCGATCTAATTTTTTCAGGATATTCATACAAGTACATCTGACATGCTGTTTCGCAGTTGCGGTTACAGGTATAATAAATTCCGATCATTTACTGTAATTTTTTTAATTATAATATTCATTTGGAGTTTTGGTTGTTCATATGCATTTTTAAGAATTAATTTGCCATAATGTAATTAAAATTGTAATTTTGACGCAACAACTTATCGAGTTTTAACACATTTAAGCTACTTCGTATCTCTTACCCTTTCCGAGATCCCCGTACTGAGAAAATTTGTAACAGCCTGTATTTTGCTGAATTATACCCAGTTTTCTTCAATGCAATTTAAATACTTTTATCAGTGTAAGAATATAAAATATACTTCAACAAAGAGGGATTTAAAGAATAGCTTATACAGGGTGTTTTTCTTTCTTGAAAGCTCACCACCTCAGCAATTTTTTAATTTATTGTCCCTTTTTAACAGTTTTTTTTTTATTTTAACATATAAACAATTGTTTAGTAGCCTATTAACTTTGAAATTTTCTGAATTTAAACGAAATTATCGAATTTTTACAAATACAGTCAATTCCCGATACAAAACAGACGAATTCTAGGAACTTTTCGCCCGGCAACCGTCCCCGTGCGTATCTCGCCATCTCCTCAAACTTATTTTGACGTTTTGCGCTAATAACCCATCCCCCTTTCACGGCAATATCTAACACCGAACCCGTCCATCCATCACCCCGACCGTAAGGGCACTTTTTGCCCTACCGGGGACAAGGGAAAGGGCGACACATCCAGGTTATGAATTGTTTCGTCGTTTCTTCACCACGCCTATGGGTTTTTAAGAGTCTTTGCACTCTCCGGCTAATCTGCAAATACCGCCACGCGGAAGGGGCTGCGACGGGGGACGGGCGCTGCATTGCGAGATAGTCCTGCGACCAGGACCTGCATGCCGTGTCGCGTTTTGAACTAGTCATTTTATAGACATACAATAGTTTAAAACTTTGTGATAATTATCCTTTTCCCCGGGCGGTAACTATTAGACTTTCTTTATCGCTCTCACGTAACGGCCGATGGACCATGGGGACTTTCCGACCCTGTATATTATTTTAATTATATGACCCGGTAAAATTGATGGATTTTCTTCATTTAAAATAAATTGTTGGCGCTTGTGTTTTATACACTGGTTCAGTTCAACATACGGACTGATTAAAATTAAAAGCCGCATGTCATTATCTTAACACATTAACAAAACGACCGATAAGTTTTTCAAGCGTTTGACCAAATTTGTGATTTATAACAGCGATTTAAATGGTACTCATCATAAAATAATTCATAATACTATAATCATATGACCAACTCAAAGCTCACCAAACGTTATAGAGCTAAATTATATGGCGCTGTTGGCGTAATTTACGGTTGTCCCTAATGTGAGATTCTTGTTGAATTCTTGTCACATGCCGAATAACGCTAATGATACAGTTAATAATGTGGTAAAAAATTAAATTTTATTCACAGTTAAACCAAACAGATGATTTGTTTAAAGCAGTATATGTCACAGGATGTTTTATGTAAAATGTATCGAAATATTTCTACTTTATTTGCCTGAAAGGCAATTGGTGAAATATGAACATATTAAGGGAAATAAACGTAACACATTCCATTGTAAGTCGAGTAAATAAGTTTCTCGATTTTTTAACAAAAAAAATAAAGCTTCCCCTTGTATAGCACCCAATTCATCACCCACTTGTACTGGTCGCAGAAGCGCCACGTACCAGTTAAACTCCTGTCCACTGTGCATTCTGATAAGATAGCAGCTCCATAAAAAGATACTCATTTAAATGCTCAGTCTGTGCACGACTATATTATGCGATTGCGAGCATCAGTTTATTTACAATTAGGGCCACCGTTCTGTGCGCCACAAGATGAATCGCGCAAAAAACAGGAGTTTGCTCCGAGAAAAAGTATGCTTAGTTTAGTTTATTACTTGCGTTTAGTGCATATGATGAAGAGGACGAAACCTCACAGCTTAGAGGAGGAAAATTGTACGATTTATTTTATTGTCATTAATTTTCTGCTTTTCCTCTTTTTCGCACACTAATTTCTTTATACATTTTAAAAATATTCTGAAATATACAGGGTGTGCAGGAAAAGCGTACCATATCAAAGTTATGTATTTTTAAATGGAACACCTTTAGCGTAGAAATTTAATATTAGCAATAAAAAAATAATTTTAAGGGAGCAGCTTTGGATAGTGTATTTTAGATCCTTGAAGTTATAAATTATTATATTTGTCGTCACTTAGTATTGTACAGGGTGTTCAAAAAACTGGTGAATACTTCTCTCAACTTTAAACAGCAATAACTTGGTTATTTTAAAATATTTTTACTTTGAAGGTTAGGAAATTTAACACTCTTTCAAACTGCATATACAGAGTGACCCATTTCAAATTTGGACACTCTAATAAAAGTTGTATTTAGCTCTGCACAATTAATTCAATAACTTTTTGACTTCGAACTAAATTCAATTTTGATGAAAGCAATTTGCAGTAGTTAAAAATGTATAATTTGGACTGTCGCCGACATACCAATATCATAGTAGAACAATTCACCCTGTACAATGTACTACTGGAAATACTGTAAGCCTTTCTAATTCCTAAATCTCTGTAATGGTACAAGCGTTATATATTTTTAAATCTTTCTAAGCTTACTATAAACTAAGAAAATCCAAGTTAAGTATGACGTCCGGCCGAATGCTGAATACAGCTCATCATAAATTTGACTGGGTCTTAAATGGGCTAACACTTTCGACGTTTTAGTTAATCAAGGAACCTTTGAACGTCATGCCCAAAAAAAAAACAAGAGATCAACAGCTAAGTCTCGTTCACTATTTTGAAAAAAAGATAAGTTGCTTCATTAATTTTTGCCACAATTAATAAACAAATGGAGCTAATAGAAATGTCAACAATATTAGATTTTGAAGATTTTATCTTGTTTAAATATTTTGGATTCGTCATTTTTGAGACTAATCACAAAATAAATAACCATGTCAACATAATTAAATAACATAATGCTTAAAGTTTATCTGAATTTAATTGACTTGAGATAATAGCGCAGGACATGGTAAACAAAGGCTCAATACGATACTTATAAACAAAGTAAAAAAATTTAATGGTGCATACTTAAAGGCATTTCGCCACAACAGCCCGAGGCCTCGCCGATTTTTGTAATCAATGCGAAATTTCATTAAACCATTAATATAAATTACATGCAATTTGTCAAACTAACAATTTCCATAATAAATCTTTCCCGAGAGTTCGTCGAACCCCAAGGGCATACACGGTTCTTCGGACTTGGGCATTTTCGTCACTGCACCCAGAAAAGCCGAATTTCGGGGGCTGTATGCGACTAACAACCACCGCAGGATTGTATCGCCGTACGTGCTACAATTAGTATCTGAACCAAATCGCAAT